GACTGCAGCCCATCACGTTTCCCAGGAGCCGAGCCAAGCCAATCCTGCCCTGTCCTGTTCTCCCCTCTCCCCTACAGGCTGCAGGGCCATGTGCTCTGTGAATAAGAGCCAGAGGGGAAAAGGGGATTTGTGCTTCACACGCTGCCTGTTCTTGAAATAAGCAGCTTCCATTGGACAGAACCAACCAATGGGATTGTGCTGGGGGCAGGAGCACCCATGAAGCATCATATCTCCTCCCCACCGGCTCAGTTTATGAGAACAAAGGTCCCGACAGCCGCGTTTCTGAGCAGCATGCAGGGGAGGGGCAAGCAGGAGAGTCTGCCTGGGGGCTCCCTGCTACATCCACGACTGGATAGTTTTGCCTAGGCCTGGTGTGGCACCAGTGCAGGCTCCTTGATGCAGGGGGAATAGATTGGGGTGGGGCTGGGCTTGGCTCAAGCTTCAAAAGAGCCATATCCGGCTCCTTAGTGAGCCATATTTGGCTCACAAGCCATAGGTTGCGGACCCCTGATATAGTACGTTAATTGGTTGAAATAAAGCCTGCACTCTCCATTAGTACTTATCTGCACCAACTAAAGCAAGTGAGCTGCCTTCTTTACAGTAGGATGTTAACTTGTTAAATTATACTTTTTTCCTGGTGAAGACAAGGCCAGATTTGACCACATTATCTAATACCTTATGGATAGGCAGTAAGCTGGAGGGAAAAAAAGAATAATGCAAACTACATCACCAGTTTTCAATGACTCCCTGGTGCACTGCCAAAGACCAACAGGGTCTTACACACTGAAAAGGCCCTTCTATAAAAAGAAATGAATGAAGGGCTAGTGTGCTCAAGTGGGATTTGTCCAGTTTACTTTATAAGAAATGTTTCTTGGTGGACTCTTGCTGGTGGCTCCCAGAGCTGGCACAAGCCGGGACTCCTCAGTCCCAGCTCAAGCCGGCTCCTGGAGCTACTCCCACTGTGGCTCTGCACAGTGATCCTTATCAACTAGTCGTGTTGTCAATACAAATTGTATCGACTACACGATTAAATAACTGCAGTTTAACATCCTTAATTCCAGAATAATCAATTCAACACCAACACCAGATGTGAGTCATGTAGACCAATTAACATTAATTTTAAGATATGTGACAGGCAATGGTGAAGTTGTAGAGTGATTTCTTTGTTTTGAACCACTAAAATCCCACACTTCTGAATGTCTAAAGAATCTTATTAGATACAGCCATTGCCAGAATAGCAATAAGATATATGCCTAAAGGCAAACAAAAAAAAATGGGGCTGCCTAAAAACATGGTGAAGGGTTGTGGAAGCCAAGTTGAAAAACCTGGGACACAGCTGTAGAATGACTGAAACACAGATTTAGTTGCACATTTTTTGTAGTAGTATCTGAGTACAGTATTTACAATAAGTACTGAGGTAATGTTCTCACTTTCTTACACC